AATTGCCGCCGCTGCCGCACGCAATAGTAGTCTTCAGAGGTGCTGTCTGGCGATGGGTGGAGGGGGAAGAAGTGAGGAGAGGGAATGAGAGGAGAGAAAGGGGTAAGAGTAATATAGGAATTACATAAAATATTTGAGGGTAATTTTGTCCAAAAAATATTATAAAATAGTTCCCATTTATTTACAAATATACTACTGAAACTAAAATTATCAAAATCTCAGCCGCTCCAAATTAGTTTTTCCTTTAAATTTTTTCAGCTTCAAAACGTTGAAATTTAAGCAGAAAGCAGTTTGTAAACACCTTGAAAGTATTGCATTGTTTGACATTAGATTCTAACTTTTTTTATATTTATTGGCCAAACAAACCTTTTCTGTTATATTTATTGATTTTTTTGTAAAAGTTTATATTTATTGAGAATTTTAATATTAAATACTAAACATCGTTGGAGGTAGTTGCATCAGCTTTCGGCAAAATAGAGAGGACAGCTAATGCTTAGCAAGTGTAATGTATAATATTATGCATCCCTGTACCATGTATGTAAATAATACTAGGTAGTGACGTGAGAAACGAATTCATAAACAATATCTTCCTGAAATGGGCTGCCCATATCAATACTTTATAACTCAACTGGGCAATGAACTAGAAGAAATTGTAGCACATGTATATATGAAATGACTAAAATACCCTTTAGAATTTGGGTCCCGTCAGGTTATCATGGCTGGACCTTGGAGGCCAACGTCCTAACCTCCCCACTGGCAAGTTCATTACTTAAAAGTCACTCAGCAACAAGATTAAAATAAATAAAAATATTATTGAATTTTAGAAGCAATACTTCTAGAATCACGTATCATATGCTACTTAGCTACTTTTTTTGGAGAAAAAATAATCATGAAACCATGTCCATTCATGTTAAAAGGGGATGTAACTGCAACTAATAATGTAAAGAAAAAATGCAAACACGCTCCCTGAACTACAATTCACTGTCAAACATATCCTTAAACTGTTAAGACTGTTAATTAGTCAGATTTAGATCAGATAAATTTAAATTTTAATCTGATAAATAATTTTTAATGTCTAAATCTAATCTGAAATTTTATAAAATTTATGTTTGTAAATTATATCTAAATTCGGTAAATAATCTAGGATCTAGCAAAATAATTTTGATTTGATAAGAAAATAATACTTTTTTATACTTAAATATCTTAACTATATTCTATTAATCATATTAGTTATTGAATTTTTAACTTTTTCAATGTAATCCTTATAATATTGAATTTGTTAATTTTTTATGTACAATTATTAATTTAATAAAAATAATATTAAAATTTAGATTTGAATTCTTAACGGATCAGGTTACTTAATTTTATGTTTAATTCACTTATTTTAAATTATAGACATTTATAATCATATATGATATATTGAATATTTTAATTGAATTCAAATTTTAAAATTTAGATTGAATTTAAGTTAAAAAGTTAACCCGACTTAACGTGGGCGGGTGGCAAAAAATTAAAATCAAACCGGCCTTATTTTCGTTCCAAACTGTGCTGTTCAGATTAGTTAAATGCAGGTGGGTTGGCAGGCAGGTTAGCACACAAGAGATGAAATTTAATAAAAATATAATTTAGAAGAAATTAATCTAATAAAAATTAATATAATTTTGTAGTACTTAAATCCTAACAATCAAATAATATAAAAATTACACTTTTTTATTACAAAGTAAAAATAAAATAAAAGAAATAGAAAGTAAATTCTATGTGATTACTTCCAATTAATGTCTTTAATTAAATAAAAATAAATTATTGTTGTTAAGTTCAAATCAAAAAAAGTGTTAACCAAACCCAACAAAATTATTGTATAAAGTAAAAAAAAAAAACTTAATTATATATTCTTTAAATATATTTGTGTAATTATTTCTAATATAAAAAAAATGTTTAAAGTGTTCAGAATAAATATATTATTATTACAACATATTTCCAATAATGAGTAAATTATTATTTATTATACCTAATTTTAATTTATTATATTCGTATTTTAAGTAGAATGATAAAAATTTTTCTTATTTTGAAAATTTTTAGATTATGGTTTTATTTCTTTTAATACTAAGTATATTTTCTCAATGTAAGATTTTATTTTCTAACTCCGAGTACTTTGATAAATGAGCTAATAGATAAGAAAAATTAAGATTGATAGAGAATAAGTGATAGTAATAAATAAAATAAAAAAATAATATATATATGTGTATACATTAGTGAGCGAGTCGGGTGACGGTAGGTTTTTAAATTTTAAACTGTCACTCGACTGCATAACGAGCAGGTTATAAAATTATAAACCATTAAAAGAAAAATATTATATTAAACTGGCGAGTTGTTGACTGGTTACGACGAGTTGAGTGGATTTAGGCTCACCCTTACTCTTAACAATCTTATAAGAATTATTTTAATAATATACTTATCTCTCAAAATAATAGCTAATTATACCCTTTATATATAAGTTATTGCATTTTGATATTAGGTATTTTTCATGAAACTTAATAATTACTCATCATTACAAAGGAAAGAAAAATTATAAATTAAAAAACTTATACGAGAGAGAATAAGATATATTTCATGAAATTAATATATGATAATATTTTGGATGCAGACAAATAACTAATCATCTATTAAATGAATTTTATAATTTATGACCTAATTATAAAAATGAACATTTAATTTTAAGGGTATGTCTCTTTGCTTATTTTGAATGTAAAAGTCACTCTCGATAAATCATTTCCTCTAATAATTAGTCGTTGAAAAGGAGAGAAAATGCAGACTTAAATATCAGACGCGCGTGAGATTACGCGCCATGTAGATTCTTCTATTGCCCTTGTCAGGGAAAGGTTGTAAAAGGGACAAGTGACGTGTGCTTGTTAGATTCATAATGATGGCGAAGGGTTCTCCATTGCTCGTTTTCATGCACGTGTGATTTTAGCGAGTGGGGAAATGAAACTATCTTCTCCCTATTCGGAATATGCTTTTGGCATATTAACAAATTACTTCTGGTTTTTGACAAATTTTCATTTATTTATAATATTAAAAGATTTATGGATAGAGAAAATCTACTAAATTACGACCTATTTCCGATCTATTTGCATAATGCACTCTTTAATTTTAATTTTTTATACTTTATACCTTAACAAGACAAATAATCAAAGAATATTAAGGTGTAAAGAGTAAAAAATTAGAATTCAAAAATATATTGTGCAAATCACCCCTAAATTACTCAAAGACTTTTTGAAAGTTTTTGCTGGATCGATTTCACTTTAAGCACATTTTTTTTTCTAATTTTACATGTAACTTTCTAATAAATTATAAATAGTGAATTTTATATTTGCTAACAAATTAAGACATTTTTTGACTTAATCATGAAAATTAATATTTTTATAAATTAATTTTTTTTTCTTATAATTTCTTTTTTTCATTTTATGGGAGGGATTGCAATTAGTTTTTAGCTTTGACCTTAACTTTTTTTAGTTAAAAATCTTATGTAGAAGAAAAGTAAAAATTAATTCCCTATTAAATAAAAAAATAAATTGTCGTATTAAAAATTTGACACTTGAGAGTGGCTCGTTATTCTTACACGAAAAAAAAGGTACTCCTTTAGAGTGATTTCAAGGAATCAAGTGGGTTTCTAAAATAAAAAAATTAATATTTAGTGGATTGGGAGAAAAAATATTTAAAATGAATAATAATAATAACAACATATTATTATTGTTATTATTAAACTGAAATGAGATTGGAAATATTTTAGATTATTGGTTTTAAAATATTAACTTTTGAGAAGAATATTTCCGTTTATCATAATTTGACATTGAAAATTTGTCCATGAGACATTTAGCCCCGAGAAAGAATCTTTGAAAATCACGGGCAAGCGCCACTATTTCTTCGTGTACTTTCAAAATATATAATTAACATTAATTGTGGAGTTATGGAATATTATGGGTATTTAAATAATTGTTCAACAGAAAAAAAAATTTATGTAAATAAAGATTATGAAATAAGATAATACTGAAAATAATTATAAAAAAGAAACTTTGTTTGTGTAAAATAATAAATTTATTAATAAATATTAAATTACATGCTTGATTGTTTTTATTAAGTTAATAATTTTAGTGTCTGGTCCAGTTAATTATTTTAGTTAGCGTTGTATTTTCTAATTTTTATTCTGCAAAAATAAATAAACACCCGCTCTCATGTCTGAAAATGCTGATGCGAAACACTGAAAATAAGATCATAGCGCCACGCCGCCAGCTAGAGCGTGGGACGTTGACCGTACAAGCAAATTTAATTTTTCATCTTCCGTTGCAATTTGCAATTTGATTTTCATTTTCTCGCCTGCCGAACGGAGAGAGAGGGGAGAGAGAGAGAAAACAGTCATCGTTTAGTTGTGCTCTCCGCCCCCTCTCGGACAAGCAAAGCGACGCGAACGCGACCCGAAAGCCGCGTTGATCTGTTCATCGGTTCTGTCATTTTCTGCTTCTCAAATTTTCGCGCAAAGTCTGCTGTCGATTTTTTCAGCCCGAGCTCTGGACTTGATCTCAGGCAGTCTTGATTGGTTTGCTCGACTTTTCATTCACCTCTTTACTCCAGTCATTATGCATCTATAGAGCTATACACACACTACACAATTATATAGCGTATATGCGTGAGTATTGTACTCTAGACTGTGAATATATGTTTATACGTGCACGTAAGTTTTTGCTAATTTATTCCGTTGAGGCTTCAACAAGCCTTTCCTTCGTATCTTCTAATGGTTAAGTGAGTTTACTTCCAAAATTTGGATTCAATCGATGCGAAATGGATTCAATTAGGTGTTCACTTTTCTCTATTGTTTTAGTTATTGATTGATATCAATTTGTTCCGCCAGGTGTTTGATTAGAGGCGAGAGGAGTTTGTGAGACTTCCCGGAGAATGTGTTACTGAAGTTTTGAGTGTTTTATGGGTTAGCAAGTCCGAGAGATATGGACTTTGCTTGTAGTCTTCAGCGGTCTACTGTGTGTCATGGCGTTGAATTTACGAGTTCCAGGAAGTCAGATTCTCTCCGCTCAAATATGAGTTCTAATTCTAGAGGCATTGGCTGTAACTTTCTTGGCAATCCTAGAGTTTTCTCAGCCTACAGGATAACGAAGTTGAAGAAAATAATTGTTTCAAGGACCAACAGAAGTATTCATTCATGTATAACTTTTAAAGGAGACTTTGATAGCCATTTCCAAGTTTGTAAGTCTCTTGGATCTTTAAAAAATTATAATCTCGTTAATGTTGTTAAGACATCGAGGGGAATATTTGGACTGAGGTGTCAAGGTAATGATTCAATAGCCTTTATTAATGGTAATGATCGAAATGTAGAACTTGTTGAGGGTCATAATGAAGAGACTGCCATCAACTCAGAGTTGAATGGTTCAAGAGGAGAAATATGGGAAGGAGAAGAAGACAAGGAGCCTAGTTTGGAAGAGTTGAGGGACAAGTTGCAGAAGGCACTTGAAGAATTAGAGGTAGCACGACTAAACAGTTCTATGTTTGAGGAAAAGGCACAGAAAATATCGGAAACTGCAATAGCATTGAAGGATGAAGAAGCAACTGCTAGGGATAATGTTAATTCTACACTTGATATCATGCAAGAGATTATGGATGAAGAAACTGTTGCCACAGAAGCTGTTCAGAGAGCAACAGTGGCTCTTTCTTTGGCTGAAGCAAGGCTTCAGGTGGCAATGGAATCATTGGAGTCTGCAAAAGGAAAAAGTGATTCCCTTAGAGCTTCTGGGGACAATGATTTGGCATATGAAAGTGGAGGAAAAGAATTAAAAACTCCAAGGAAAGAAGAGGAACCAGTCTTGGTTGCTCAGGATGATATAAGGGAGTGTCAAGCCACTTTGGCAGATTGTGAGACAGAGCTGAGACGATTGCAAAGCAGAAGAGATGAGTTGCAAAAGGAAGTGGACAGGTTAAATGAGGTTGCGGAGAGGGCACAAATGGATGTTTTCAGAGCAGAGGAAGATGTGGCAAATGTCATGCTTTTGGCAGAGCAAGCTGTTGCCTTTGAATTAGAGGCTGCTCAACGCATAAGTGATGTGGAGATTGCTTTACAAAAAGCTGAAAAAGATCTCTCAATTTCCCTTACTGATAGTGCAGAAACTACAGTTCTTCAAAACGGATCTTCCTCCATGGGGCAGTCTTTGGGAGAGGAGGAATTGGTTGAAGAGGGAAAGGTGAGTCAGGGAAATTCAAGCGATGCTGTTTCTGAAAGGGATACAAATGTGCTTATTGACAGTGCTTCCATTGTTCTTGATCCCTTCCCTGCATGCCGGTTTGATGGACCTAGCCAAAGGTCTGAAGAACCAAAATTGTCTTATGATAGCGATAAAGAGAGTGGAAAAGTAAATTTAGAATTAAAAGATCCTGAAGTGGATACGGAAAGGTCAAAAAATTTGGCTCAAACAAAAAAGCAGGAGTTGCAGAAAGATTTGATGAGGGATGGTTCAGCATCTAATGCTCCAAAAGCATCATTAAAGAAATCTTCTCGATTCTTCTCTGCCTCATTTTTCTCTTTGGATGGGACTGAGTTTACTCCAGCATCCATTTTTCATGGCCTTATTGAACATGCAAGGAAGCACTTGCCTAAACTGGTTGTTGGGTCATTACTCGTTGGAGCTGGGTATGCAACAATTTAAAGAATTAAATTTCTGTTTCTTTGTGATTTGTCTAGTGTGATATTTATGACCTGTTACTTTAAACCAGGAGCAAAATCTCTTCATTTATTAGGTTGTTAGATCTGATTTAAGGATTGCCTTTCTTAATATATTACAGGGTTGCTGTTTATGTCAATCACAAAGAGAGGATTAGCCAATTATATATGCAACCAGACATTATAACCACTAGTATTGATGAAGTCTCATCAAATGCAAAACCTTTGGTTCATCAAATACGAAAACTGCCAAAGAGAGTTAAGAAGTTAATGGAGATGCTTCCTCATCAAGAGGCATGTGCTTGAAATTTCCTTATACTGTGCTTTGTGCTCAAACCTTGATATGCCATTCTATTTGCCCGTGAAATTTTTATTTTTGTTTAGTCTTGTGATTGAATGTTCTTGTATTTATTTGTTTTTTTAAGGTGAATGAGGAGGAAGCGTCTCTCTTTGACATGTTATGGTTGCTGCTTGCAAGTGTCATATTTGTACCTATATTCCAGAAAATCCCTGGAGGTAACTGAATGTCGCAATCTGTTCTTGCAGTTTTCAAATTACATTCTCATCTGGGATGCGTTTTCTGTAAGTTGTTTGCATCATGAGGAATGCTTTTGCACATGCTAGGTCCATAAACATGATTACACTTGTGTAATGTCAAAGTGCACTGTTTGATAAAGCTGAAGGATTTGAAGGGGATTAGCATACCTTTTGATGAGTATGACAGACACTATAAGAACCTCTTTCTTGTCTAGATATTTTTTTCTGGTTGTCGATGTTTGATTGTGATTTTGTTCTTGTGAACTGATAATTATGGCACTTTAGTTTGTAGGATCTGTATTTAATAAAATTGACGAATTAAATTTGGTGACTCTGTCCTAGCAGTTATCTGCATATTTATTCTGGTTTTTTTCATCCAAGACATATTTCTACACCCACTTCTTTCAGAATCTTATGTTGCACAATTCATATTTGATTCAATTCAATTAAATCTTTAAGTTGCACTGAAATTTAATAAACACATAGATTGTGTTGAACTTAAAAGTTTACAATTTAATACTACTCAATAACCATTTCATTTTGAAATGCATAATTTCTTTGAGCTGTTTTCCTACTTCAAATAAAACTCCCAAAGAACTTGAAAAATCTAAGGTTAAAATACTTGCATGTGTTTGCATGTTATTAAATGTCTCCAATTCCACCCTTTAAAAGCCTGAAAACTTAAACTTCCATCCTATGCAGTCTGCATAACTACAATAAACAATTTTATTTTCACTTGTTAATGACTTTTTTCATGCATCATCTTTTGGTTTTCCCCTTTTTAAATATCTTGGAAATCAAAATGAAGGTAATCATAAGTTTTTTTGGAAATTATGTTGTTTAAGAAAGTGGCTTATGTACTGTATATGGGCACATCTAAATTTGCGTTCATTGGTTGAATGGCTAAATTATAATATTTTCTCTTCATTGTTTATTTTTCCATGTTTGCATATGTTTTTCCCCCTAAAATTGCATTGATGATTCATAATATCAGGATTTGATTCACAATTTGATGATATTGATTTAACTACTTTCTGGGGATTTAATTTTGTTTGGTTGATGGCATATTTATTATTTATTGAAATGTTCAGGCAGTCCTGTTCTTGGATATTTGGCTGCTGGAATCTTGATTGGACCTTATGGCCTTTCTATTATTCGTCATGTGCACGGAACAAAAGCAATAGCAGAATTTGGTGTTGTGTTCTTGCTATTTAACATTGGTTTGGAGGTATATACTTTAGATCTTTAACTTTTTTGGTACAGACAAATGATTGCCTCGATAATCAATTTCTGCAAAATGTAAAAAACTGTGAAAGTGAGCATCCTGTTTCCATGATGCAGCTTTCTGTTGAAAGACTGAGTTCAATGAAGAAATATGTTTTTGGATTGGGTTCTGCTCAGGTGATTGAGAAACTTATTTTTCAGAACATTATTCTTATTCTTGCCTCAAGCTAGCAATTTCTTGTGTCTGCGTTGTGCATGTGCACATGCAACTGATGTACTACTATTTTGGTTTTACTCTGTTTAATGTGCATAACAAGTACAGGTCTTGGTTACTGCGGTGGTGGTTGGTTTGGTTGCTCATTTTATTGCTGGGCAACCTGGTCCTGCTGCAATTGTCATTGGAAATGGCCTGGCATTATCTTCGACAGCTGTTGTTCTCCAGGTAAATTCCATGAGCGGTTTTTGTTTCTGGGATTTGGGAATGATTGAATGATATATGCATAAGGACTTGCCTCTTGTATTACTTAGTCAAATTGGGCTGGCTATGGCTGGGTATACTAGATCTTCCACTGGGCCACTATTGGTGCAGATTTATTTGCCATTTGGAAGGAGAGTCTTCTAGTATGCCCAAATCTAGATTGTGACGATGTGTGGAAGCAGTTACTTCTTTCCTTCTCATGTTTAGTTCTTCTGGAAAGTTTGAAAAGTATCTGCATATCAAATTGCCTTTTGCATTGCTTAACCAACCTGCCTCATTATAAGTGAGACATCACCATATGATGGAAATATAGCTTATGGAATGACATCAAAAGCAGATTTCAAAGATCCTTTTATTGTTTCTCATTTTCATTTTTAGTTATCTATATTTAAGCTTGCTATAGCTATTCAATAAATATTTAATAATGAGCATTCAGGTCTGACCAATTATACCTATCACATTGATTCTATTCTCTGCAAGCTATCTATTTTTTACTTGTTTGCCACTTAATTTCTTTAGGGATCAAGTACTCAAGATCATTTATTGGTTAATGCTCCCATTGGGAAGGTGATTTTTTTTTCCTTGTCTTATTTTTTTATTCACTTTTCTGCAGGTATTGCAGGAACGGGGTGAGAGTACATCACGCCATGGACGTGCTACATTCTCTGTTTTACTTTTCCAGGTGTCATTATCAGACTTTTAAATTATTTGCGTCTTGGGTTTTATGCTGTAAATGCATAGTGAAATACTATGGTTCTTATATGATCATGTTTTATATGGACTGATAAGTTGTTACCAGTTGGTTTTTGCATTCTTAATTTTGATGGAGAGTAGATGTCATTCCTGTACTTTATGACTTAACTGTGCCATAATTCTTTATGTTCAAGGTTAGTTTGAACTCAAGTAGTCAATGCATAGTTTTGGTTCATTTCGTTTGACATTTCCACCTATAACTTATTATGGTCTAGTGCATACAATACATCTATGATATTTGAACCATTAGAATGATTTCAAGAAATCCATGATTGGCCCATATATATTCCTTCATTTTGCATGTTTATGTGATTGCACCTCCATGCCTTGATCTACCATTTTTCTTCAATTTGATTTTTATCATTTATATTCCAAAACCTGATTTGTTGTGTTTTGTTTTTCCTTTTTTTCATTTTTAATTACCCTTCAGGATTTAGCTGTCGTGGTTTTGCTGATACTTATACCTCTTATTTCACCAAATTCGTCGAAAGGAGGGGTAAAGCTCTTTCCAATTCTCATACGTTCTCCTTTGTAAATTAACATACCATGTGTGTTGATCAATATCTAACTGCTGCACCATCCTTGGTTCCACACTCATATTGAACATATGGTGCTACCAATATTGCTTCTCTAACTAAAGACTTGATGGTTGAGAAGTGCATGTTTATTTCTTCACTTAGAAAGTTGGATCAGCAGTTGGATAAGATTACTTCACCTTTTGTTTTTTGATTACATAATGTTGCTGTAACTGTTTTTATAATTTGAGGCAGTATATTCTTGCTGCTGCTTCTGTTGTTACCACAGTAATTTTCTACTGTTTTGCAGGTTGGTTTCCAAGCAATTGCGGAAGCTCTTGGTTTGGCGGCTGTGAAGGCTATTGCTGCAATTGCTGCCATAATTGCTGGAGGACGCTTGGTGAGTTCTTATTTTTACATTGTGTTGAAAATAAAAACAAAGGATATATTGAAGTGATCTACTGCATTTTATGCACCTTATGCTGCAATTTATGTACCAATAAATATCTTTAAATATCTAAGAACGTGAGCATCAGTTCTCTGGTTTGTTCAGTTGAATATTCTCAACATTGTCTTCTTGGTATAGAATTGTTGTGGTTTGACTATACTCAAGCCAATGATTTTCAAAGTTCTTAATTGTTTCTGAAGTTCATCACATTAATTATTCTTATGCTAATTTTCAGCTGCTCCGGCCGATCTATAAGCAAATTGCTGAGAACCAAAATGCTGAGATATTTTCTGCTAATACACTCTTTGTTATTCTGGGAACTAGTCTTCTTACAGCTAGGGTACGTTGTTGTGTAATTATGTTTTTGTGTTTTATATATTTGCAATTTTGAGTGCATGCCTTTCTTATGACAAACGTAACAGGCTGGCCTGTCCATGGCACTGGGAGCATTTTTGGCTGGTTTACTTCTTGCGGAGACAGAATTTTCTTTACAGGTTGAATCAGATATTGCTCCATATCGTGGGCTTCTGTTGGGTCTCTTCTTCATGACGGTGGGCATTGTTATTTATCCATATGATTTGTTTATTATCTGTTCTATTTTTTAATCTATATAGAAATCTAATATGTCTCATGAGGAGATAATGCTTGAGAGATTTCTTTCTTGCAAGTAAAAGACCTAAACTTTCTGTAGTCTTTTTGTGAATTGGCTATGATATGAGTTCTCTTACTGCATTAAAAATGATACTTGTTTGTGTGACAAGATAATTAACAATTTTGATATATTGGTATGACCATTGTATATTTGTGGCACAGTGGTTTCTCAGATAGCGTCAATTAATGGTTACTGTTCTGTGGGTTTCAGGTTGGAATGTCCATTGATCCAAAACTTTTTGTTTCAAATTTTCCAGTAATCAGTGGGACATTAGCACTTTTACTTGTTGGCAAGACCATATTGGTTGCTGTAGTTGGTAGGCTTTTTGGTATTTCAATCATATCTGCATTAAGAGTTGGTCTTCTACTTGCACCGGGAGGAGAATTTGCATTTGTGGCTTTTGGTGAAGCTGTTAATCAGGTTTTGCCCTCTATAAACTATTTAATTTGCTTGCAAGTTTTACTGCTTTATAGTTTATGCATATCCTATTCTAAGTGAATAAATACCTGGGTAATAACAACAACAACATCATTATCATCATGGTCATCTTTGTTTTTAGTATTACTGCTGCTCGAATAATCTTTGATTCAGTTTATTAACATAAGTTAACATTAAAATTTGGCTTATTGCTATGCAAACAGAAGAACATAGATGTACAGGATTCAATGGACTAAAATATTTTCTGGTCTTAGATGCATGGGTGTGCATGTAACCGTCACTTTTATGCCAGGAAGTTTGAGGTTTGTGATTATTTAATTACTTGAATAATGTGCATATATAGAAGTAGGTATGGCTAAATGGGCCTGCCATGTGCGTTCAGTTGAGTATTCCTACTGAAGGAAAATTTATTAAATTACAAATTCAAGAATTGCAATTCTCTTAAAAACTTAGGCCCACCAAACAGATTAGACGCCCACCCAGAGGATGATTCCAACAGATTATGAGCTTAAAGAATAATTTGGGAGTTATAACAGACTTAGTCCATTTGTGTCATTATGCACAATGTAAGGTTTTTGGTTAAGATGAATTCAAGGGCTGAATGCTTTCTATTGTAGCTTTGCATTTCTTTTCTTCCTGATTAGGTATTCTTCTATGAATTTATTCCCATAGACTTGAATGGAATCAAACACTAAAAGTTGCCAATGCTTGATACTGATTTGGCTGCTATTAACATGAGTAATTGTTTCTTTATTGACCTCCTTTGCAGGGTATAATGTCTTCTCAACTGTCATCTCTGCTCTTCCTTGTGGTAGGGATTTCAATGGCTCTCACCCATGGTTGGCTGCCGGAGGCCAGTTAATAGCTTCTCGTTTTGAGCTGCATGATGTGCGAAGTTTGTTACCTGTAGAGAGTGAGGTAGAATCCACACTTCTTTCTTGTTTTGACATCCAAGCAATACATCATTGTTTGTAAGAGTTGTCCTTTTTTCAGTTGCTGCAATATTTTGTGGTTAACGAGGCCCTAGTTAGTATTGTATGTGGTTCATCTATCATAATTTGATGTCCGAGGACCATAATTGTCACAACTTGATTTCTATCATAATTGGACGACTGAGGAGCATAGTTTTCACAACTTGATTTTTAAATTTATTTCATTGATTAGGAGGATAAGAAATGCACTAGCGACTTTCAGATCCATAGGAATATGGATGGAAGTTTGTATACTTGTAGTAATTATTCTACCTCTGTCAAGCAAGGGGCAAATAAAAACCCATCAGGCACGTCAGATGATTGTTGCCTAAAATTCAGGGAAATTGTTTCAATATGTTCTTTAACGTCCTTTTTATCAAGAGAAAGCAGCTCATTTTTTTTTTCTTATTTTCTGGGTAATCTTATACAAGTATATGAATAAAATTGTATATTGCACTTTGGCTTAATATTATATTTTTTGGCTTTAATGTTATGCACTGTAAAAAACATTGCTACATGTCTTGAGTCTTGTTTCTATTTTTAGTTAAAATTTCTTCCTGATGTCCAACTGCTTTTATTTTCGATACCAGATGATGGTAAGTCGGAATTCAAAAAATTGGTAACATCTCTGATGCTGAGCCCTAAAATCAGTTAAATCTTAAAATATGTTTACAAGATACAGTTCATTAGGGATACGATTATTAGATGCCTGGTTGCAGGTTGTTTATTGCAACTCCTTAGATTTAATATGCGCAGTCGTGTGTGGGATCTTCTAGACTTTTGTCTAATGCTTTTTTGCTCAATGATAGATGTAGATGAGTTTTTTGTTTCTGATATAGGCCAATGCTGCTATTAAATGGAATTTTCTACTGACTTGTTTTTTCTCTCACACACCCCCCCCCCCCCAAAAAAAAAAAAAAAAACTGCCGCATGTCGCTGTGTCCAGACAGATGATTTACAGGATCACATCATTATTTGTGGGTTTGGACGTGTTGGCCAGGTATGGTGTTTATTTTTGTTAAACCTTTGTTGGTGAATAGTTTTAAAAATTTTGATGTAGAGTATCTAATTGTTCAATCCAGTTTTGTCTACCATGTTGTCTAAGAGTGGACTTCTTTTTGGTTCTTTCAGATCATAGCACAGCTTCTTTCAGAACGACTTATACCATTTGTGGCTCTTGATGTCAGAAGGTATGCTTAAATTACAGGAAGTTGGAAATGAATTCTGTGAATAAATAATTCTGGAACTAAATAGAGAACAGCTTTTGGTTCAATATTCTGCTTAAAAGAAGACAGGATTGCGGTTGTTCCTTGTTAGTGTTTTTGGTAACTTCCATCAGGATTGTCTAGCCTTGTTTGGTTTTTTCATGTTTTTCTTTATGCGTGAGGCATCTGTATGAATATTTTAACATAAATGTGAGTTTGAAACAAGAAAGTTCAACAAATTTTTACATTATTTTCTATCTTTATTTTTGACTAAAAATCTGTTAAATATTTCATTAGATTAATAAAATTGTTATGGAGCAGCATCCTTGTAACTGACTTTGGATTATCCATCTTCTCAGTGACCGTGTTGCAATTGGCCGTGCACTTGATCTCCCTGTATATTTTGGAGATGCTGGTAGTCGAGAGGTAAGACAAATTGGGCTCAAACATAAATATGTTCTATGCAGATTCACTGGGTAACTTGTTCTTTATTCCTGGCCTACTAGGTGCTCCATAAAGTTGGTGCTGAGAGAGCTTGTGCAGCAGCAATAACTTTAGATACCCCTGGTGCAAACTATAGAACTGTTTGGGCTTTGAACAAGTATTTTCCCAATGTCAAGACATTTGTCCGTGCTCATGATGTAGATCATGGCCTTAATCTGGAAAAGGCTGGTGCTACAGCAGTAAGTCTCTATAAATGCTTGCATAAGTTGCTTCTCTTGCTCTCTGATATTCTCAATAGATGCATATATGCACATAGATCTATAAATATTCACTTTTGTATTTTAGGATTATGTTCATGGAACTCATGACTCATGATTATCTGACTTGTTTGTAAATCTTTGATCAGGAATAGCATATCATGAATTATCTAAGATTCCTTGCATTAATCTCGAGTATTTTTGAAAACTCATAACTTTTGCAGGTTGTCCCCGAGACATTGGAGCCAAGTCTCCAGCTAGCAGCTGCTGTTCTTGCACAGGTAAAAAGCAATATGGCCAACAATGAGTTGACATAAGTTTTTGCTACGTAATACATATGATGAAATTCTAGATTTCTGTGGTTAAAATTGACAATTGATCACCTTTTAGAGTGCAGTCTCATTGTTACAAATCATCTATTAAAAAACTGAAGATAATTGTCTGTTGATTTTATTGCTTAACATGCTAGCACTTCAGTTTCTTCTGTAATTAACATAATTATACATAGCCGAACAATTGAAAATGATATAATTTTTAGACTAATGAACACAAAATAGCTGCAAGCAAGTCTACTTTTTGCTGTCATCTTTAATCATTAGTACAGTCAAAACTACAAAATAGCTGCAAGTAAGTCTACTTTTTGCTGTCATCTTTAATCATTAGTACACTCAAAACTTTTAGACCACTTGCGAACCCAGTTAGGTTGTTGAACGGAAAAGCTACTAATTTTATTCTAAAGATAAAGGAAGACTCATTTGAAAAATCAGGACTAAAATGGGATTCACTTGCTTATTTCTTTCCTTCTCTTACCTTGTTCTGTTAGGCTAAGCTGCCCATGTCTGAAATAGCAGCTACTATCAATGAGTTTAGGTCACGCCATCTTTCAGAGCTCACTGAGGTACTTACGGTTTACTAATTTTAATTTTATTTTACCAGCTTGTTCTTGTTTAGCTACATTTGTTGTTTTTCCTTGGATATATGCATGGGTATAACTAATTTACAAAATATAATTGCATGCAGCTTTCTGAAGCGAGTGGAAGTTCTCTTGGATATGGATTCTCCAGTATGATGAGTAAACCCAAATTGCAACCCTTGGATTCTTCCGATGAGAATCAAATGTCTGAGGGAACACTGGCAATATAACTCATCATCTAAACATTAGCAAAAGAATGCAGAGGGGAAATAAGGAATAAAAAGCCAAGAAGTATGAAGTGTACAGCAGTTTTGCTTTAGAAATTGGTTTAAATTGTACAGAAATATATAGCTGACTTAGCTGCAGGAGCGCGCACATTTTTTGATTGGTCGTGGGAATCCCCCTTTTTGATAAATTTTGGCACGTAATTTCTACATGAAATTGTTTAAATGGACTCGTTTGATAATTGCATTGAATTTCAATATTTGTTTAGGATATTCTTGGTGATATTACAATAATTCTGTGATGGTGCTCTTTATCAAACTGTATGATTTACATCTTAATTACAGTGCAGCACGTGGAGGAGAATTTTTTAAATTTTATTTTTTGGAATTATTCATGCTTTAGGAATGACCATCAGTGACTGGTGGATAACCGGCCCGCCTTTTTTTAATGGGAATAAAGAAACAAATTTATAAAGATAAATCAGCAGTTACAAATTGATAATCACGTTTGATGTTAGGTGTTATTTTACTAGAAAGCATTCTCGCAATTTAATAATAAAATGACAAGGGTACAAATTTTTTAATTTTTAATTTTATATTTAATCAAATAAAGAAAAATATTTTTTAAAACAAAGAAAAAAATTAAATTATTTTATATTTTATTTTTAAATGTTAAAAATGAAAAATAGAATAAATTTATTTTAAAATTTAACACACTTATCATTTTTTTTTTTATTGTCTGTTAGAGTGATTTTCTAGTATCAAATGAATTCCATCATGGTGTATGTAGTCAGTTAACGAGTTTGACAGAACTTAATGAACAGTCTAAGGAAGGAAAGAGACGAGCAAAACTTATTTCTTTGCTTTTTAACGCGAGCTCTGTCTGGGGGATGGAATTCATAACCCCATCTAAGCCCTTAAAAATAGGACTGTTTGAAATGTACGTTGTTAATAATAATAATAATAATAAGAGCAGTCCTTGTTACAAGCTATTTCGCGTGGCCAAGAGAATGCAAAATAATTCTAAAATAGATTGAAAATAAAAAAAATTATCCGATTAAAGTAATTTGTTTGGCCAAAATGTACTTCCCTGCCAAGCCCTCAGTGCCTGCAGAACCTTGCCTTGCGCCTCCCCTCAATTGCCCACTGGGGCGCCACCACCCCCGCCTCCTCCACCCAACCCGCCCCCCCCAAAAAAAAAAAATTCCCCCATCCCCCCAGCTGAACCCTTCAACTGTCTACCTTTGCTTGCAACCAAACCCTTTGTCGATTGTTACTTGCAACCCGTCTTTTATCCTTTTAATATTTTTAGTAATATATTTATAATTTTAGTGTAAAAAACTTTTATTTGATTATACAATAATATTTTAAAAATTCAAATTACCTTTCCATTTAACATTTTATATTTCAAATTTTTCAGGTCAATAATTCAACTAAACTAGCTGTCTTGATATTTTTTCCTAATAACGATAGTGGAGAGCTTTTCAAGAAGCATATTAGATATTAATATGATTTATAAATAAAGAGAAATATAAATAACGCTACCAGGCACAGCCATTAAGTCTAATTCACCATCTCTGAGTTTTTTCTTTTTTCTATTTTTTTTTTTTATTTTGAGCTAAGAAAACCATCGCCAACTCGTGTGCTAGTAATTGACATCAATCTTGTATTTGTCACAATCGCAAATCCAGTTGTAAGCCTTAGGCAGTAATAGCAAAAGTGAGGACACATCCATTTTTAAGTCGGAGGCAGCGACTGCAAAAGTAGGGACGAGGATAGTGAGGATGGCAATGGAGGGGTTTGCAAAGAGATCAAAAATAACCCAAAATGAACAAAACAACGATGCTTTTTTTAATTTTTAATCTTTTCGTATTTTGACAGCTTCATGGTGCAGGTACAGCATATTTTAAACAGTGAATTGGCAAAGGAGTGTAGCCTATTGGTGCTACAAATTGAAAAATTATAACGAGTAAAGAGGTATGTTGCAGGTAACAATTAGAAAAGAACGCCAATAGAACATGAAAATCTCAGAAATTTTTGGCGGTCTTTTTCCTCTAATTGTGTGGTAAAATAGCCACTACGGTTTCTTGACACAAACATCTATCCGGGCTGCAAACTGATCAATGCCCATCCTACTTCGCTGCTTTGTACTCCTAAGAATTGACACCTGGAGAATAACAAATGGATAAAATGTCTGTAAATAAAGAACCAAACAGTAGAAATTTCAGTTGTATTCCTGCTTAGTTTCAAGTAATTGACAAAATGTAATAAAAGCAAGCAAAAACAACGCACCGGGTAAGAATATGTATAAATTGACAAAATGTGGTACAAGCAAGCAAAAACAATGCACCGGGAAGAATATATAAAATATACATATATTGTGCTCCATTATATATTTAAAATATTCATATATAAATTTGAAAAGGGTTTTCAAATATCTTGTGCATGTAGGATAGCAACTGATTTGCAACAAAGTAGCTTACTAAAATTGTTCACTTTCAATGAATCAAATCCTAAATTAGCTATAACACATGAAATCACTGTGACTTTCATGTCTGACCCAACATACTAATTAAAGGAAGAGGCTTTGATATACTAGTCTGAAGCAGATTATTATACCTTGGGACGCTCCATAGTGCTTCCAAAATAACCTATTCCAAAAGACTGGGATGTGTAGGCAGCTGCAATCTCTACAGCTTTCAGCTTAGGCAGATTCCCAGGAAGCTGAACAGGAAACAAACAAACAAAAAGTTGTTTTTCTATTTTCCCCATGAAAGTCAATCAGGTTAGGATCTTACTGTAACAGGAGCCTCGGCTTGAACGATTAGAATTCCAGCACTTTTATCAGTACCATGCTGGGTACTCTCTTGGATTACAGAGCGTAACACTTTTGTGCAAGAAGAGGCCGGACCTGCCTGTGATCTGTCCAACAAAGATTGCCACCTTAGATCCACAAGCCTATAAACAAAAAACTGAGCTTTGCAGGGTTTAGCAAAAATGAAATTTAACATAAATACATTAACAAAAGCACTTACAATGCCGAAGAAAAATGAAGACTTCAGAAAAATTTTAGGCCTCCAATTTGTATCTAGCATCCACTATGTACAAACGAACAAATATTGATGGAGTATAGTAGTCCAAATATGTTATTTGAATAGTTGGTGATCTCAATTCCTTAGATGCAATGAATTGCAAGTTCATCAATTTCTTTTATCTATATCTTCATTTTGAAAAACAGAATAACATGTATAGTGAGTAGCAAGGAAGATTCAGAGCCTTCTCTACTTCCATGCCAAGCATGGACTGGTTTTTAAGCACAAAATCCAACACTTGAAACAAAAATAAGAGGCATATGAGTATAGAAATGATGTTCATTATAAGAAAATACAGCAACAAAATAAAGTTGAGATTGGGAAGGCATTCAAATTATACAACACTTCAAAGCTAGTTACTAAGGAAAAAACATGCGTATCATTCACATTTATATTGCTTTCATGCTTCAAAAACACATGTAACAGACATGTTAACAATCCTTACATAGAAACATTGCCTTTACTGCATACCTTCTTTTGCTCTCTGTATACATCTCAAGCACAGTTGGGAATGTTTCCCCTTCTACATTTTAAAAGTGATTTTCTTTTCAATTTTATTAGTTAGACTTGCCAGAACAAAATAAATTATACTAAAAAGAATGCTGAACATATTTTGAACAATTGGAAGACGTACATTGATGATGAAACACAGCACTCCCGAGCAGCAAATCCTTTCATTAAATATTCTCCAGCACCACTAACACAACTACCAACTATAAATGGAGCCCCAAAGGGGCCTTTTGAGGATGCCCAGCAACCTGAGCCATACATTGCAGCTAATCCCACACGACCACTTACCTGTTAAAAATATTAGAAGAGTAAATTTCAAATTCTAACCGAATATTGGTCTGCAAAGAAAATTCTTGTAGCTTCAGTTTCTCTGACATAATACGCAAATATTGCTCTGTGAGTCCATATGAAGTGACAATGAATTGAGATGCAATATTAAGAATTTAAGTTCATGTCAGGAAAAATTCTTGGCATGGCCTTTATTAGCTAATGTCCTCAAATATGTGAATCTACTAGCGACCTGTATTGACTAGTCAATAACAACAGGAGGAGATTCAGGGAAAGTATGAAAGCATAATAAAAATTCAGCTTAATTTTGTTCAAGTTTTTCCTATGTCCTTTTTCTTTCCTCTTTATTTTGAAAGCCAGAAACTGTTCAGAGGTTACTGTTCAAAAAGAGAAGATCTGAAATTCAGGCTTCATCACATTTAAGTGGCTAAGATCTGAAATTCAGGCTTCATCACATTTAAGTGGCTAAGATCTGAAATTCAGGCTTCATCACATTTAAGTGGCTGCCATAACTTCAATACTCAACTCACTTCCAGGAAGATTAGAGAACTGATAGAAAATCTATGAAAAGCATTCCTTTCATCTGATTGTTGGGGGTGCAGAGAGTCATAGAGGAAATAAATTGCTCAACCAAAAGCCTATTAATTATAGCATGGAACCCTCACAAAACAAAGCCCAGGAAACTACTCCCATAACTGTCACTGCAGTGGCCACCAATCAAGCACTCCAAACATTTTCATCATCCCAAAACTTATTTAAATAAGAAGACCTGTAACAACCATGCTGATGTAAAGAATTGGACACAATATAGAAATTTTGGACTATATCAAGAAAATGGCCATAAAAACAATGCAGAAAATCACCTTCAATGCAATTCCGCCACTTGATGCCCCAGATGCTATATGTCCTTCAGTGTCAACACAAATAACGCCAACAGTGTCCATAATGCAGTCATCTTCTACTGCACTCAACACTGAGGGTAGTTTGTGTCCCCCACTGGCATTTGAATTCTCGTGTGATTGAGCTTCCATTTGTGGACAAATTCAAAACAAAAGAAAAACAGTAAATACAGATAAAGAACTTCAACAAAGCAGACAAACTAAAGAAAATGGTAGATGGCATAATTATTACAAAACATGAGGAATAAGAAAAATGCTAAATATTGAGAGGTTGAACCGTGCTTCTTGTTTAAAGAATAACAAAAACATGCAAAGACATCAATGGGCCGGATTGCATCCTGGCAAAAATCAGACGAGTCTTGGGTGTATGCCCATTCCACTTTTGTCTCTGTTATTAATTTATAAGTAATATGATTTATATAAAAATTATTTTTAGTTAATAAGATAAAATAAAATACTAACATGTCAAAATAATATTGAAGGTAATAAAAAATGGTAACAAAAAGGTTTCCCAATTTAAATATTAATTTCTCATGGTCACCTGCACTGCATTGAATGCTAGAAACAAGTATTGAAAAATTCTATTCAATTATAAAAACGCAAGTTTCAGTAAAAATTTAAATATAGGTGTCTCTTTGCCACGATATCTTAATATCCTAACAGAAGACAACATTCTGATGTCTTTATATCTGATTCTTTTTTCCTCAAGTTTTTATGAAAACAGTTTCTGAATCCAGAAGAATTTTCAGCATGATTTCCTTCTTTTCTAACTACAAGAAAAGAAAGTTTATCTAAAAATTCTGCCAAAGGCAACATCTTTTCTCCAAGTCTAGGAGCTCCAATCTTCTTTAGACAATCAAAAGTTCTTTTAGCAGTAATTAAGACTTTGTTATTCATGCTCACTAAAAGGGTGTTTGCTAGCATGAGCTTTAAGATTTTTTGAACTCATTGGCTACTAAACTGTTTTGCACACTGAGTTTATGGATCATCAAGAGATAAGCTTTGAAGTCCAAAAAGTCTCAAAAGCCCAAAACTCTAACTCTCGGCTCTTTGCCTTATCTTATACAAATCATGATAAAAATCTTATGTGCATTTAGGGGAAAAAATAGAGAGAGCTAAAAAACATTTTAGGGAAAGAAAGTTGAATAAATTTTGAAAGAGTATTTTCAAGAGAAAGTTGAAAACAATTATAGGAACAAAATTTTAGAGAGAGAGAATTGAAAAAATATAGAGTTGGTTAATATAAGAGAGGAAAAGTTCAAAAAATTTAGAATGAGAAAATTGAAAAAATTAGAAAGAGAAATTGAGTAATTTTTTTTTTTTAAAAAAAAAAGAGAATTTAAAGAGAGACAGCCAGAGAAATTAGTGAGAAAATTTTAGAGAGAATTGAACAAAAAAATTATAGAAAGAGAATTTTAGAGAGAATATCAAAAAAATTTTAGAGAAAAAATTGAAAAATTTTAGAAAGAGAAAGTTGAAAAAACTTTAGAGAGTGAAAGTTCAAAATTTTTTGAGAAAGAAAACTTTAGAGAGCTAAAAAAATCAAAAAGAAAAGATTTTAGATAGAGCTTAAAAAATTACAAAGCAATTTAAAATTTTGGAAGGGTACCTAAAAGGATGAGAAGGAATCAGCTAAAGCAGTCTTCACCTATCCTTTCTCCAGAACAAAGGAGGATAAGGACAAACTGAATGGAAGAAATAAATTAAAATCAATGGAAAGAGGGGACAAAGATAAGTGACTTTTCACTTGTACAGGCTCCTCAGGGATTAGTTGAGATCCATTAGAGGCCACAAAATGTGTAAAATGGGTGCCACGCCCATTACAATTTGTCTCTCCGATTCAAGGTGTCTAAACAAGACTTGTGTCACCAGTAAAGATGGTCTTGAAGTATCAACTTCCTCATCTGGATCTATATTCATATAAGATCATAATATGAATTCACTCAAATGCTGAACACCTAAGCTGGTTGATCAGATGAATAGTTATGAGACATGATTTTTTTCACCTCTAAACTGGCACTCAGTGCTAGTCTCTAACAAAACAAATATGGGTTAACTGTTCTAGTTTAATCTACTTTCTCATCATTGATGAAAAACAAAAAAATAAATTTAGAAGAAAGTAAAAAGATTGCTAAGGAATTATTTCACTTTCAGAACTACTTATATTTAGAGGAAACATTGTACATTAACGATCCCCAACTTTCAGATGCAGTATTTTTTTCTTTAAACTAAATGAGATGAAGTACCTAACACAGCACCGTTCTCCTGATGGCTAGAACAAAGTTCGGCATCAATCCTTGCAGTCCTGTTTTTTGCATCATCAAGCATTGCTTTGTACTTTTCCCACTGTCTTTTTGCCTTCTCTGTAATTAGCCACTGTATATCAATATTCACACCACTTAGTTCCAATTTTAAACCGACATCTTCAAGAACATTGTTATTTATTGAAATTTGTGCACACAGTTATGCCCCTGAAACTATAAAAAGGTTACCTTATCAGCCTCTGCCATAGTAGGTGGCAAAGGAATGCCCTTGGCCTTTGCCCATATGCGTGCACCTTCTCCAACCAAGAAGCTGGGCAACATGAGAAAGGTCTCATAAGAAAACAAAGACTTGAAGGACGAACACAAATGGCATGCCCAAATGAGAATGAGATACATTACTTGCCAGTTGCCACTAAGATCACACATTTATCCAAAGAAAAAAATTTAAATTATATAAACATCAGATTTTAAATGATAACTACTGTGAGAAAGACTGCCAGAAAGACAGATATTAAAAGGGGACAAACAGAGAGGCGTGACCTTACATGGGAGGTATTCTACCCAGGAGTGATGATCCCGACATTTGTTCCTTGGCTAACAAAGCAGCAATCTGGATGCCATTCTTAACACCTGATAATTATTAACTTCATGGAAAATGCAGAGCAGAAAATGAAAATGAAATCTTCCATAACATTTCCAGAAGAAAGAACCAAAAAATGCAGTCAAAACTTAAACAACTGTTCATCTGATCCACTGTTTAGAGCATGATTTTCATGAATTATACTCTGGGAATACCTGGTACAGCTCCAACGGCCCAAATGCTCCAGAATCACCATCCATGATACTAGCGTCACATTCCACATGACCATCTTCAGTCAAATTTGAGCCCCGACCAGCATTTGTGCATGGGTCATCCTATCAATACAATCTTGGTAACGAATGGAAAATGCAACCAAACAGGAGTAAGAACACAAACAAAAGATAAAATTCCTGCATGAGATGGCTTTTTCCTAGTCAATGAATAAGAGAGATCTCTAGAACCAGTATCCAACCCATTCATCACCTCAACCCAGTCTAGCATGCATTGGATCCATTAAAACTGAGTCAATTCAATGAGACTACTCCCAAAACTTAAGCGTCCATGAGATATTATATAGCTTTACAGCTTTCTACGCATAACTTACAAACAACACTTACAAGGCTAAAAGGTTTACAATATAATACAAGGAAGGCATATGTGAATGTCAATTATTTCCTATTATTATTGAGAGTCCAAATTGAAGTTCCAATTAGGTTATTTAAGTAACTTTTGAAAGTGTTTTCAACTATCTTATGTGAGAAATAAAAGGTTTACAAAAACACTGGAGGAAAAAAGCATTTTATGAGTTCTAGAATTCTTATTATTAATTTAGATTCCACGCCACAATATTTCTAACTCTATTGTCCACTGTATCCAGGCGGCATGTGCACATCTCAAAGCATCAGCCTTGACTAACTTTCTGATGACACATAAATTTTGCCTTGCAGTGAACAGCCTATCTTGGCATGGAGTTATTCATTTAGGGTCTTCATCTGGGGGTAACACCACAGAAGGCTGTTATTTTTCCCCTTTTGTTATTTAATATCCTCATATAAAATATAGAACAGAGAATCAACACCACAAACATACTCCAAACACAGAAGTTTAACAAAAAAAATCACACAATCAAGCTCAGTATAACAGTAGCTAGCAGCTTACCTCCAAGACTTGAATTGCAGCTGAAACAGCATCCATAGAACCACCGGGCCCCTAAAACATAGTAAACAAAAATGTGTATCAAAGGACGCATTTCACAAAAGCACATTCATCACCCGTATTAATAGCTTAAATAGTTTATTTTATGGGATTGCTGATGGCCAAATCAATACCAACATTCCCTCTATTGCAAGGGTTATCAGAATATAATCTAATTCATACTGCATGAAAAGATAATACAACAAGAATGTGAACCAAAATATATATCCTTCTATCTTATGCTGAGGATTCGGGTGTTACCTTTCCCAGACGCATTTTAAACCTGTTTTCAATCAACTTTAAGACCCTCTATAGCCCTCGTAGTTTTAAACTAGCCAAAATGCATTTTGTTGAATGGTAGACAGGAGTCAAACCGGGCCACAATTACAAGGAGGTAAAAATCAACGGACCAAGACGTTTAGTAATGACTGATAAGTGTTCTTCAGGATTTGAACTGTTCTCGCACACCAAAGGGACTAAATAGTGCTGTGGTAAACACACAATTATGTGTTAAGTGTAAGTAGATTTGTGCTATTCCACTCTCCCAATAGATGAAGCAACGAAAAAGACGAGGCAAAACCAGATTTTTCAAACTTAAGGAAACTGCATCGGGAAAATATCCTAGAGATTCTGGGCGATACAAGCGGCATAGGAAGGAGATTCAAGAGAAAATACCACGCGAAGCACAGAAGCAGCAGCGAGACAGGCCCGTTTCATGGCGGACCTAAGAGATTTCTCGTTCGACGGGGAGTGAAATCCCGCTCCAACATGGACTGCCACAAAGAAGCTAGGATTCCGATCAGTTTCTTCTTCGTCCGCCATTAAATATCGCCACCCCAGAGGGCTTCGGAACAACTGTCCTCACTTGTCAAGATTCCCACCGAAATCCCGCGCCGCTGCTGAGGTCGCTCGGCGTGCAATTAGCCAGAAAAAAATGGCCAATTGGCTGTAGCAAATCAGTATAGGGTTGTTGATAACTAGCCGAATCAAGCTCAGCAAGCGGGTCCGGGTCGGGCCCTTTAACTAGGGTTCGGCGTGCAATTAGCCGAAAGAAACGAAAAAAGAAGAAAAAACTTTTCTTTTGTGGGGGGAGAGTTTGGACTTCAATGATTCGTTAAAAATGAATGGACTTTAGTAAAAACTCGCAAGGGAAAAATTAACTATTTAATAATTATTAGCAGAATAAAAGATTTTATAAATGTATAAATTATATAAAAATAAACTATACATTATAATATATTTTTCTAAATTTTAAAAATAAAATTTTTAAAACTAGAATTTTTTTAAAAAAATGATTTGATTTTGTCTAAAATATATATTTGACTTAAATGAGAGTTTAAAATATATTTAAATATATATATATTTAAAATGTGAGGTTATATAAAATAGATTTAATATTAATTTCTAAATCTAGTTTCCAAAATTTTTTAAATTTTTATTTTCAAACCACTTTTCGCAAACCCATTTTTACTCACTGTATTCAGATGCAAAATTAAATAAGTTGGAATAAATTTATTTTAGAAGTTCGAAGACGAGTTGGATAAACCCACTTTCACCAAACATTTAAAAAAAATAAAAATAAACAATTTCAAAAGTTAGTGTTTAAATTTTTGTGCTTAAGCAAACAGGCCCTTTTAATATAAATTATTGTGTTTTTATTTTGACTTTTATTTTTAATGAATATTGAAGAAATTTCATTGTCATATACAGAGCTAACGTAAACACGTCATGTGTGTACGAAAGTATGCGTAGAGAGAGTGTGGTAGCAAAAATTTAACAAAGTCTGTTCGTTGGCGGGTTAGTTGCATTCGCATATGACAGACCCTGCTATCTGGGATTCTCAATCTGGTCCCCTGATTTCTGATATTTGCAGTACTGCCACCGCCAAATTTGGAGTAATTTGATTGAGATAGGTCAATTTATTTATCTATGCAATTCGACGCCTTTGTGTTACTTTACTTTACTCTTTTATTCCACAGGTATTATCTTTCCAATTTTGTGTAGATTAGGAAGTAGTTTGTTTTATCTCTAATATTTCTTAAAAAATAAAATTAATTTTCTCCCTTTTTCATGAAAATTCTATTTACAAAATCAAAATCCAAAGCATATATTTTTTAACCAACCAAACATCTTTTAAATATTATAAAAATAATCTAATTTTTATATAAAATAATGGGTTTTTTTTCCTTTTAAGATTATAAATTCACGTAAAAACAAATTCCTTTGTCGTCGTTCCAAGTATTCACAGCCCCCAGTCGAGTATCTCATAGAAAACTAATTTACAAAATATTTATATCTAGCGATCTTCAATTTTGCTTTTATTTATTTATTTATTTATTTGATGTTAACCAGAAGGGCCAAGTTTAACCGGGGCAGGCTGGCCGCAGCCACCACACCAGCTCACTACGCAGACTTGGGCTTAAACGTTCGGGCGGACCTTTTTCTACAACCCTACTCGATAACTTGCGTAAAAAGCATAGATTTTGAGATCAATGCGGTGATATGATTTTCTCCGTCCAAAAAAGGAAGAAAGAAAAGGAAAATCTCACAGAGGGGACATAAGCCAATAGGCCAGAAGGCGAGTATGCTCAAGAGAATAAAAATGCAAGAGCGAGGGCCCCCGGATGGATTCTGGGTCGCTCATAGAATTGTCAATCTCGATGATAATGCGTTATCAGCTAAGGCCCCTATTTCTAACCGTTGAACGGTTCTCTCCAGCCGCCAAATACCCATAGAAACCGCATACGCCGTCCGATGAACGAGTCCCACAAGAAACTGAACTGTCGGACCCTGCCTAAGATCGTGGGCCCCACCAGTGCAATTCCAAGGGAGCAAGAAAAAACGACGAGTTTATTTCTGTTTCATTCTCCCTTCCCACACACTCCATCCGTTTCTATTACTTATCTTAGCTTTAAGTCCACCCAAACAGATTAGATTAGGATGCAAACTCCATCCAGATGTATTTGATGTTGAATCTATGATCTGGAAGTCTGTTCTTGTACTTGCTTTCTTTGTTCCTCAAGTTGTGTTTTTGTCTTTTCTCTAAATTCGGTTTTCTGCCTAGTGGTTGAGTTTTTGTACATATCTCTTCACACCTTCCCATTTGTTGCTCAAACTGGTTCCGGGTGGGATTTGCTTGTTCTAGGCATTCTTCTTGTATTTCATACTTCTGGATATTCTTATTTTCTGTCGGCTGAATTTTTTCTCATCAGTTTGTTCAAACTGGTTCTGGAGTGGATTTGTAGCATTCTTCTTATGTTTCAGATTTCTGGGAGTCTTTTATATAATAGAATTTGGTATTTTGGTGATTGATGTTCCAAACATTTCGCGTGATGCTTCTATATTTTAATTTAACAATCATGGGTTTATTTGCTGATCTTCTATTTGACTGTTGAAGATTTTCTTTAGTTGTATTTGGGTTATTGAAGATGCTTGGTTCGGGGATGAACTTGATTACTACAGTTATTGGGTTTGGCATGAGTGCTGCTTTTATTGTGTTTGTCTGCACCAGACTGATCTGTGGAAGGCTTAGAGGTGCGGATTCTAGAAGAATGCTTGAGTTTGAGTCAAGGATTGATCTTGAACAGGTAGTATATTGGACTAGAATCTCCTTGTGCATATCCGGATTTTGCTATTTATCTTGTTTGTTTGATCTGTATGTGTGGAAATTAAAGTTCCTAATGATCAGTAATTGTCAAAACACCATGTGGTTGTAACCAGCACTGGAATCTCAATGGTTTTTTTTATTTATTTATTTGTGCATTGGATGAGATTGAGCAATCACAGGGGTTTTTGGAATACGAAAAGCCCTTTGAGAGTTTTCCTAAAGCTATAAAGAATTAGAAGCTTTTGAGCATTTTTATGTGCTGGTTGTTTTCTGGAAAGCCCTGATTCCTTTTATGAAAATATTAAAAAATGGCTCAAATAAGCTAGCTTTTTTATCGTTCCATGTCTCTTTCCAATTTCCTGTCTTTCAGACAGGTCATGTTGATGAATGGCAAAGACAATGTGTTCAATCTAGTTTGTTTCTGACTTATGGATGGGCTGTGAAGAATAAAATTCAAGGTTCAAATTGATTGAGAAGTGATAAAGTAAGGGTAAGAGAAAATTGTAGCGTGAGACCATTGAAGAAATTATATGGTTGAAAAAGGGGGGAAAAGTGAATGATTATTCTATTCAGGGAATGTGAAATACTTGCCAATAAAACACACGTATAACTATTTATCAATATCTGTGTATGGCTTCTTCTGTACTATATATATGTTTCTATAGACTGTACTAAAAAAATCTGAGTAAGTGATTAGTTTAGAAGCCAGGTAAGGAGTTTAATTTTTTTTTTTTTGACAGCCAGGGAATCAGAACAATGGTCTTCCACCAGTTGTTATTGCTGCCATTCCCACCTTGATGTTCAACCACGCGGCTTTCACTTCCATGGAAGATGCACTGTAAGTTTAAATTACAATAAAAAATAAATAAATAAATAAACAAATAAAGAATAACAAATTTTAAGCTATATTACATTTCAGAATATGAGGCCCAGTGGCCTATAACATTAGAGGTTCCAAACCTTGTCAGCTATATTACATGGATGTGGAAATGAGTTTCTGATGCTTGTTCGTGGCTATGTCTGAGCATCAAATTCATTGAATTCTCCTACCCAATGATACGGGACTCAGTAAAATATTTTAGTCTTACTTTATGCACTTTTTCTTTTTCTGTAGTACAATGTAGATCATAAGGTGTTCTAAAGCATTCTCTTGCATCATAAAAGATTTTTATTCGTGGCTAAATCCATATTATAATGACTCAACATACTTGTGTAGAGATTGTCTGACAAGAATTGCTGCCCCATGTTCCTTTTTAGGGCTTTGTACCTCCCATGAACCAAAAGGGAAAAAAGTGATATAGATACACATATATATAAAAAGAGAAAAGTGATGTTCATGGTTGATGGTAGTCCTGAGAGATTAAAGGCACCTTACTCATACCTCGAGCTTTGCATTGTATTTGAGCCATGGATTAACTGATGTTGGCTTTGCAAGAACAATAGACAAATTTGATGCACACATTTTCTGATTATTTGTTTACAGCTATTTGTGTAAATTTCCAATCCATTATTTGAGGTACCTATTGATTTTTATGCAGGTGCACAATATGTTTAGGAGAATACCAAGAGAATGAAGTACTGCGAATAATTCCCAAATGCTGTCACACCTTTCATCTGTCCTGCGTCGATGTATGGCTAAGAAATCAGTCCACCTGCCCAGTTTGCCGTCTTCCCTTAAAGAATTCTGTAGAAGCAAAACAGGCAATCACAGCAACATTTGCTATGACTCTTCAACCTGGTAGCCCTGAGACTTTGATTGAGTATTCTCAGCAACAGCTGCTAACTGGCACTGAGCTTTCAGAGAGAAATGTTTCTAGTACTCTTGGAGACGCAGAAACGGTGCAATGAACGGGCTAAGGTAACTTAAACTTGTACATTGTGAACCGACGAACTTGGAGAAAAATGGGAAAGTTTAAGGATCCTGAAGAGAGGTGGTGGTACCTTGGATCTCATCGAGACAGTGGCAAGGATTGAGGCAGTAAGATAACAGAATCAGAGATTTTGTCATATTTGGGACTTTGGCGAGTAGCTTTATATGCACGTGCCAGTGTCCAGCTATTCTGTAAAGTACTGAGCATGTCTCGTTTCTAGCATTCTTTGTTTGACAAGTAGCTTTTTCCTGAAACTCTCTGTGATTAATGCAGCAAAATTTTTCGTTCTTTTTTAGGTATTAATTGTAAAGAGAAACTACTTGTTTCTAAACACACTTTTGTTGAGAGTTACTAATGGTATTCAGAAATCAGATTCCTCCTGGGCCAAGGCACCAAGCTACAATTGCCTTTTTTAAGTCTCTTGCATAATTGTCTCCTGTTGATCCCCAGATATGACTTTGAGGAAGCAGTAATACCAGACAATTTGGTTGGGAGTTTTGAAACAAGGGAAGTGCATTTTTTTTAATGGGTATAACATGAGAAATCCTTTCTGGATCTAGCGAGGGAAAGTGTTTATTTAGTTGATTCCTTCGATAAATGTACATAGCATCATGTGTGTGTGTGTGTGTGTGTGTGTGTGTGTGTTTGGGGGAATAGGGGGCTGGTAAAACAAAGTTCTTCCCAACTATAATTTAGGTAAGATACTGCTTTGGGAAAATGATGGCACAATTTTCCTTTTTTTTTGGGGAAAATTATTTCCAAAGAGTTCCTTCCTTGTTGTGGATATCTAATTTCTTAAATTCTAATTTCAAAATTAAATGAATAGTTTACTTCTTGGCATTCTAATGTTTACTTGGATTTTTTTATATACATAGAAATTTTTTTAAAAAAATTGAATAACAAGTTATCAAAGTTTGGAAAATGAAAAACTGCAAAATGCCATTGGGTTTTAAATTCAAGTGATTGCAAACTATGAGTGAATAGAAGCATATAATATTTTTTTTTGGCAAAGAAAGCATACAGTTGGGTAATTTTGGAAAAGTCATTATATTTATATCTAGTTTGTTTGACTTACTTATTTTCTATTTTTATTTTAAGTGAAAACGGAAAAGTAAAGTTAAAATAAGATACTTGTTTTATATTTTCATTTCTTTAAAATAAACTTTTAAAATAGGTTATAAAATGAAAATAATAAAAATTACTTGCAATATTTTTTTTTTTTTTTACAAATTTGAATACGCAGTCACAAACTTGTTATTTTCAATACTTTGTCCTCTAATTTTTTAATATTATATATAAAATTATAATGCTTAAAAAAGTTATCAATCCAAATAAAAAGTTGCAAAAGCTTTTTTTCTACAATTAAATATTATCTAAAGCTTCTAAAGTACAATTCCTTTCAATCCAACATAAGCTCTTTTTTTTTAATAAAGAAAAACTAAAATTGAACGCTGGACCCTCTGGTTTTTCTATTAAAAGTTGTCATAAATATAAAAATAAAAAATTAAGTTATAGATAAAAAATAAAATTTCACTTTTTACCCCGAACCAACCACTCTTTTCGAGTTAATGCAGACCAAAGCGCTAGCCACCGGCTAGTCCTTATCTGAATTCTGGAACCCTGGACACAGTGCACAGAGAGAGATAATGATTACCCATATAGGTGTCATTTCGACGGGTTCTTGCTTCCTTCATTTGCCTCGTCATTGTCGACGTTCTTCTACAAAGCATGCACCATCAGCTAGTAAGTATCGATTTCAACCCTAATTGTGCAATTGGAATATGATCATCCAACCTCATCATTTTGTTCTTCTATGAAGCATGCACCATCAGCTAGGAAGTATCAATTTCAACCCTAATTGTGCAATTGGAATAGGATCATCCAACCTCATCATTTTGTACACGAACCCAGTTAATGGCATTTGGGTTATGTGATATCTATTTGGCTTCTTTTTATCCATCTGGTTCGAATAGTTAGTCTCAGTGCTGAACTGGCTTTCAGTTGGTGCATGTTTAGAGATAACCCTCAATTTGTGTACTTATTTTCCGTTCCTTTGAGTAATTTGTTTTCTTCCGAGTAATACCTACTTACTAATACCTGATCTTATGGAACCAAATTCTCTATTTTCTGCATTGTGCCATTAAGATTATCAAGACTTGACTTATTATGAATTCTGAAGTGCCTCCGTCATTGGTTTTGCTGCTGGTATGGAGCATGCTGAAATAGAGATACACCAAAATTAACTTGGGTTGAAATGATGAAGAAAAATTAGAATTTGTTATGGTTTAATAAAAAAATATGACTAATTAGACACAGAAAAGGCTTAGTTGACATGAGTTTTACTTCTAGAATGATAGGGTACCCTCCCTGTGTCTCATCCTTTACTGGAGTTACAGTTTCTAGAGAAAACTTATACCTACAGGAACGTGAGTATTTCCTCAGTTTGTTTCGGACACTTGATAGATTCTGTCCTTAATGTGGTTATTTATCAGTGGCAGCAATGGGCGATGATCCAATCCGTGAATGGATTCTGTCAGAAGGAAAGGCAACCCAGATTACAGGAATTAGGCCTGTGGGGGGTGGTTGCATCAATCGTGCCAGCCGTTATGACACTGATGCCGGTTCCTTCTTTGTTAAAACAAACAGGTATGTTATGCATATGGTTGATTTACACATTGCCGTAGAGACAGTTGACCTAGTTCGCACAAATTATGTAGTTTGCTATCAGAAAATGAAGATTAGGATTTTGTATGTTGTGAGCTATTCTTTTAATTGCTATGGAGATAGTTTTTGGTATATACTTAAACCAAACAATGGACCAGGGGTATTGGACCATCAATGTTTGAGGCAGAGGCTTTGGGTTTAAGTGCTATGTATGAAACTGGATCAATCCGAGTGCCAAGACCATTTAAGGTGAGTAAAGTTTCTTAACCATTCTATCTACTGCAGCTTTCTATTCACCTTGGCTTGTTCCATGACACAATTAATCATTTAAAATTAATCACCTTGGACGTTTCAAAATTAAATGCAACAACACTTAGTATCCAATCACTCGAATCTAAAAACTAGCTAAAACAGGTCTAGGTTTTAAGCGAACATATCGTTGAATGCCTAATATGATCAAGAACAAGTAGTTTTCATTTCCATTATTAGTTACCTCATATAACATTATTTATATAAATATATTTTGAGAATCCTCTGCTTAACAATTTCAATTCTAAATATCCATTGGTTGAACTTTTCAGCACTTAATTTCTGGTTTTATCAAGTAGGCTTAGTTTTAAATTTATATTAATTCCTTGGCATGACTATGAGATATTAGAAACCCTCTCATCAATATGTTGCAGTTTGGAGCCCTACCAACTGGTGGTTCATATATCATCATGGAATTCATAGAATTTGGTGCTTCTAGAGGTGATCAGGTGACTGGTGAAACTCTTATGTGACTTGATGATGGCGGTAAACTTACTCCATTCAATTGTTGATGGGTCACTGGTCCTCAGTCTGTTTTAGGGAGGAAGCTTGCTGAAATGCATAAAGCTGGGAAATCAGCAAAGGGTTTTGGTTTTGACATCGACAATACCATTGGCAGGTATATTGTAATAGTGCTCGTGATTTCAGAGTTCTCTTCACTATATCTTTAACTTGTGAGTTGTAACCGTGATATATGAACCGTGATGCCTTCTATCACAATGCTTTTGCAAGTTATGGGGAGATTTTAATTTATATGAGTAATAGATGCTAGAATTTATTTGTGCTTAATGATTTCATCTATTTCCTTGTAGTACCCCACAGATAAATACTTGGACATCAGATTGGATTGAATTTTATTCAAAGCATAGGTTGGGTTACCAACTGAAGTTGGCACGAGATCAATATGGTGATTCCACCATTTATGAAAGAGGTATTTCCATCTATACCCAAATCAATATGTTTTGATGAAAAGGGTGCCACACCATATTATCATTGTAGGCTAAGATCTTTTAAACAGAAAACAGATTTTTTGATGATCAATTTCAGCAATTATTATATAGTGTAATAACTCATATGCTAAACATTAAAGTTAGTAAAAGAAAAAGGGAACATTGTTTGAATTGATTCTTTCCAAAACATTTAAGTGCCTATCTAAGAGGATGACAAATGAGTACCTGAAGAGATAGAAATGAACATGCAACCCATAAGGCATATTTTATTCTAGGCATTTTTTTCTAATATTGGAAGTATTGGTGAAACTTTTTTATTAAGTTTAAATTTTTATTTCTGTTTTATCATCTTGAACAGGTCAAAGGCTGGCCAAGAATATAGGACCTCTCTTTGAAAATGTTGTTATTGAGCCCTGCTTACTACAAGGAGACTTGTGGAGTGGGAATATCAGCTCTGACAAAAATGGCGAGCCTGTCATACTAGACCCAGCTTGTTATTGTAAGTTGGTCCCTCTTGCCATACAATTTCATGTTTTTGTTGGACTTTTATGTTCACCTTCTTCAAGTTTTTGTCATTAACAAATGCTTGAAGCTTTATTTCACCATTTGAGGTTGGTAAAGCTTATAGATGTGAGACATACAATTGGAGATTCTCCCTAAAGAAATTGTGAAAGCTCAACATCTCCGTTATCTATGTTTGAGGGGAACAAATATAAGGATGCTTACAAAATCAATTGGAAAGCTTCAAAACCTGGAAACCTGGGACCTTAAACAAACACTTGTCACTGAGTTGCCAGATAAGACACTGAAGCTCCAAAAACTCCCCCATCTCCTGTTATATTGCTATAAAAATGTTCATTCATATGACTCTTTTAGTAGTATAGCAAGTGGATTCAAAGCACCTATAGCAATTGGAAGCATGTCATCTTTGCAGAGAGTCTCTATGATTGACTTAAATGGTGACACTAACAGCATTTTACTGAGGGAGTTAGGGAAGCTGACCCAATTGAGGAGATTGAATGTTTTAAATGTAAGAAGCAAAGAAGGAAGAATATTGTGCTCGTCCCTCAACCAACTCAGCAATCTTATTTCATTAGATCTTACTTCTAGAGGGAAGGATCATATCCTTGATTTAGTGTATTTGTCTTCACTTCCTCGATTTCTTCAATGACTATCCCTTTATGGATGTTTAGAGAAATTACCTCACTGTATATAATTGAAACTGGGTGATGCTAACCCTTCAGCCAGTAAAGGTGCTTATAGTCTCTTACTATAAGCTTCCATAAATCTTAGGTGCTAAGGAGGATTGAGAAGCCTTCTCTGAAGTTGATTTTGCCAATTATTCTCACAAATTTTCGAGAAACAATTCTCAACTTATGAAGGACTTCCATTGTTCAGTATTGACCATTTATTTCAATTGGATTATTTTCTTTTCCTGCATATTTATTTGAACTTTTTGTCGGCTTCTGAAGCATAAGCTGCCTTGTTTCTTAAAATACTTTCATTTTTCCAGATGGGCATAATGAGGCAGAATTTGGAATGTCATGGTGTGCTGGGTTTGGAGGATCTTTTTATAATGCCTATTTTGAGGTATCCTTGTTCTCAGTCTTCTTTTTCAGGAGAGAGGGTTAGGATAAAGAATATACCATAGTCTGTTTTGCTTCATTTTTGCCTTTCTTTGCTACCAGTTAAGTGGCAGCAATAAATTAACAAATTCAGAAAATTGGGCCAAGGAAAATTAAACCATTGTTACTGTTATACTGTAGTAGGAATACTTTTGGCTAGAGAAATTCTACTTGGAAAGATGGTTTAATTGCTATTGGTCAAGAATACATACAGCTTCTCTGATCTTATAAGTTCCTGCATCAACTCTTTTTTTTTTTTTAGCACATGAAAATAAATGAATAAAATTTAGGACTCCTAAATGGAGTCATATACAGATTCTAGTATAAGTTAGTTTAATCTCCTACATAACATTCAACAAAAACACGTGGACTTTAGGAGTATTTCTTGGCGTTCCAACATTTTCATTTCCTTGGTTCTTTCAGGTGATGCCTAAACAACCTGGCTTCGAAAAGCGGAGGGATCTTTATATGCTTTACCATTACTTGAATCATTACAATCTTTTCGGATCTGGGTACCGCTCATCAGCTATGTCTATAATTGATGACTATCTACGGATGTTAAAAGCTTAGGTGGAAGCTTAACTTTGTATTTTTCTCGGCTTTACATGCTCAACTTAAATTTCAAGCCTCCCTGTACATGCTTTCTCTTTTGTAAGGCCTGTAAATCTTCTCTGTTGTATTGAATGTTGATGCTTTTTGCCCTGCTGTTTGTAAACACATTTGTAATATTCTTCAGTGAGTTGTAAGAAGCATATTTTTGACTTGCAATTAGGGTTGAACCTGTGCAAATGAACTCGGCTCAAAAGTCTATTTTACACACGCACGCACGCACACACACACACATATATATTACTAAGTTTGTGCCATTTTTATTTCTTTAATTGAACATAAACAGTTCTAGGAAGTTATGAGTTTAGCCCCAAAGCTACCATCTACCCTAAAAATTAACCCATAATTTAAAAAATGGAAAAAAAAAATGTACTCCGCATAAATTGGTCGAAGTTTTTATTTTTTCATATTATGTTTCTGGTTGCCACAAATTATGCAAGTGATTTTGACACTTGTTGACAGGTCAACAGCTTGCCTGTCTGTCATGCAATTACCAGCCTTTAAATTGACGTTACATTTTATCAACGGAGAACGGTGGTCTCTCCACGGTTAGTACGCTTTCCGTTAAAACCAAATTTAAATTTTTATTTCCGTTAAGTTTTTTTAAAATTTTTTAATAAAAAATTAATCAATATTGATATAAGTGTAGGGATATTCATATTAAATTTTATATTATGAATTTAGTCAAATTTATTAAATAAAATTAATTATAATTATTTTTAATTTATTTATTATTTAATATTCTTTATTTTTAAAAAATATTAATTAATTTATTTATAAATTTTAAACAAATTGATTGTATAAAATTTGATATAAATATTTTTATTAATATATAATATATATTATTTATAATATAATTAATATACCATTTCATATTTAATTTTAAACTGGTTTATTCTTATATATTATAGATTATAAATGGCTGAACTTTATTATTATGTAATGTGAAAATTGGTTTTTTTAATAGCTAAACATACGAAACAATTTTAATTAATTTATTTTATTTTTCAAATTATGGATAAATATGCATTAACTGTACCGATTTTCCGTGATCCTTTTTTCTTTTCTTTTTCTAACTTAAGTCGGTGAACTAGCGAGTCAAACGTGAGGCCGTAAGCTGACGCCTGGACCTGGCTGGCAGACATCCCTGCAACCGCTGCAAAATTTCTTCTTCTAGAAATTTACAAATCTTTTTGATCACGCCGAAGTTTTTTCCAATCGGAGAAATCACTACAGCAACGCGCTTCGAGCCCTAGAGGGGACAACACGAAAATACAGGGACTTTCTGGAGAGAGAAAAACGGAAGGATTTAGCGAGAGAATGGATGTGCCGGCCACGAAGCTTGCAGCGGCGTTGGAGCGAGCAGCCATGATGGCGAAGCAGCTCCCTGTAGCCACCGACCCGACTCAGATCATCCAAATCTACGCGGCTCTTCACTCCGCACACAACCGCCTCTCCTTTTTCCTCGCCGAGACCGCCCAGACACCCGACTTGACTTGGGCCCAACCGGTTCTCCCCTTGCCCCATCCGCCGCCGCGCAGGCGATGCGGACACGCCGACGAACGTGGCAGCGGGAAGATCGAAGCGGGGAATATCTCCGCCTCCATCGGTGCGGCAGAGCAGCCGCTGTCGAAGGACATCGTAAGAGCTTCTACCGTGGATCCGCGGAACTCTGGCTTTTAGAAATTTTAGCAAGTAGTTTTTTTTTTTATTTTTTAATTTTGGTCCTAGATGTTTAATATTTTCTTAATATTTTTTCTAATATAATATTTTCTTAAACAAGATGTTTGGTTGATTAAATACACGGCAATTTTAATTTTAACCAAAAACTTAAAGCATTAATTTTTACATTTTTAGTAGTGTATTAAATATTAATTAAAGATTATTCAAACTCTCTGCCTCAAAATCCATGCTGCGCCCAGAGGTGGAGTCCTTGTTAAAGCAAAGCTTAGATGGTGAGGATGGAGGAGGAGGCATAGGCGAGGTGATCGAGAATGAGGACGGCTGGGTTCTGGCCTCTTTTTTTTTTTTTTTTTTTTTTTCTAATGCCAGTCATGTTCAAATTGTTTCCCTTGCCGATTATTTTGAGATTCTTGCATCTCAGAGAGCGGTCCAATTAACTTTAGATTTGGGGTATAATGATTCTATAAAATATTAGTAATTTTATAAAATGTTATTTTTGTCCCTAAACTTTATTATTAATTTCTTACAAAAGAACTTTACAACTTTTTCTTTAATAGAATTTTATGGTCAAATCCTTTATAGGTCCGTGTATAAATTTGGGTAGAAGATATTTTATCCCAAATTGAGGCTAGGTTCAAGTGAGGTGAAAAAGATAAATAAAATAATTATATTACATGTTTAGCACACTTAATAATGAGATGAACGAAAAGATTTATCTTATTGAATTTTTGGATATTATATTAAATAGTTAGGGAGGAATAAGATATTTTTATTAAATTTAATTATTTTAAAAAAAATTTATATTTGACTAAAAATACTTTCAGTGTTTATATTATATTAAAAAATAACACTAGAATGTGCCCGAGTACAGGTATCTAGCGACGCCGACATGCCTCCTAACGGCCTCCCTCACTCCTAGCTTCAACAGTTACCATCACCCCAAGCTCTGCAAGATTTCACCCCGTGAACAAATCTGGCAAAGTGAGTATCAAACATGAGAATCAACACAGATCCAACGAAGGATTATCACTCCTAGCTCTACCAATGCCAAATAAATCTGTCCCTAGCTTTGCTGGTTCGACAACCAGCAAAATCAGTGCTTTCTCTTAACAAGGACAAATAGGATGAGCAGTGTTATTTTACAAGGATCAATAGTGCTTTTTCTAATGGTCTAATGGGAATGGAACATGAGAATCTAATGTAGGGTGTTTACAATTTAATTTAATTCAATTTTATATTTTAATTTAAATTTAAATCAAATTATATTTTACAATTCTTAATTTTTATAAACTAAATCAAATTACAATTTATAATTTAGTTTGGTTTCAAATCACGACTTGTGATTTATAAAATAAAATATATTAAATTTACAACTTTTATAATAATTTTGACAGAGTTTTCTAAAAATTGATTATCTATTTTTTGCCAACTTGTTTAACTTAACAAATTTATTATTTATCAATTAATTGTAATAGTTGTACATTACACAATAAATATATTTATAAAATATTACAAAATTTTATTCATACTAACAGATATCACACTCTAAAAAAGAAAATTAATCAATTATTAGAATGAATATGAATATAAAATATAATAAAAAAAATATACAATAAAATAATAAAAAAATACTATATATAAAGATAGAATTTTTAATTTTTTTTGTCTGTATAAACTATACGATTTGATTCAATTTATACAGTTTGTCTAGATTTCAAATATCAAACTAAACTGTATAAAAAAAAAAAAAAACATTTTTTAGAACTAAACCAAACTGAACCGAACCAACTCAAATAATGACTTCATTAGTTAAAATAGTTTTGTTCAGTTTGTTGAACATTTCTAGTCCAATGAGAATTGAGCAGTGCTTCCTCTTCCCAATCCCAATGAGCAAGGGGTTGACAAAAGTTATATTTATCTTGCTATTTTCTTTTCTTTGACTTAAATTATATTAAACGATGAATAAAAATTTAAAACACTATGTAATTATGACAAAATATTCAAACATTATCCTATCCACTTATATCCTATTGAATTTACCAAGCATATCTTGAAATATTTGTCATATTTTTCATTGAAAAAACAAATTTAACTTTCAAATAAATACGGTAAAATCTATTATAAATGGTTATAAAATGTCTGACAATAATATTTTAGATAAACATTTTCAAATATACACATGTTTCCGATTTATTACATAAAAAATAAAAAATTATTATTATTTTAAAAACAAACTTGAAACAAAAGCTCTCGCTCCCACTCCCAACTTCACCATCCTTTCGGCCACACTCCAATGTCTTCACATCCCCTCCAAACCCGAGCCCTACTACTAGTTCTGGCACTAGAAATTATAAGCCCAACCTCCTTGGTCGGCTCGGCAACGCTAGTCCTGGAACCACCGATCCAAACCTGTCCAAGAAGTAGCTCGACGCTGCAATTGATAAACTCATTTAAGTGTTCTGTATCCTTATAATTCAAACTTCTAATTTGATAGGTTTACAGTTCTAAGAACTTAATTATCTTCCAAGTTTCTAGCTATGTACCAAAATGACCTTTTGATGAATGAGTATTACTTGTATAACCAATCAAACTGGGAAGAAATTCAAATGACGTCGTCCAAGCAAGGTCCCATTACTAAATAACTTTTCACTTCAGTAAATGGGCTGTTTTGGATTTGGATGGCCAATTACTTGGATGGAGTATACGGACTAGACCCTTCCATACAAAGAGAGACTAGTATCCGGCCCAGATCAACACCAGCATTGTCTAATTCACAACAAATTCGATACCCTCTCTGGCTGAAGTTTGGGTTGCTTTGAGACGCTCTCAAGTTGGCATGAAACGTTGGATTCAGATGGATTCTTTGGAATCAAACTCTAAAAAGATTATAAATACAATTGCAGGTAAACAAGACAAAAGTACTGACATTGTCCCAATTATTGTCAAGATTAAGTACCCTTTTCAAATTAATAACAAGTGAAGATTGCTTATATTCACAAAATGAGTATACTATTGAAACCTATTCTACCCAACAAGAAAATAAACCCTATTCTATCCACTGTCTTTCTTAATTTTTTTAATTTTTCAGACACACCCATGGAACCAACTTAGCAATACTATTGAAGCCTTTCTTTTATAATATTTCTTGTCTTAGAATTTCTGATGAAAACATCTTTATCAATAATTAAATGAATAAATAATTATATAAACAAGACACAAAACAAAATATCTATTAAAAAAAAATCTTATTAGGTAAGACTCGTGTTTCACGGGTTATC